ATATTAGAATTATTAAAACATATTTTTAACATCAAATTCAAGGTTTATGATTCTTGGTTCTTCAAACATGTCAACACAAAACTCAACCGAATGACCATTTATGAATGTAGAAACGACCTATATGAACATTCTAGTCATTAGATATATCTACGGGCTTACCTTGAAGGTAAATGAAGGTTTTGAATATTTTCCGGCGGAACTTCCGGCAAAGATTGTGGCTTACTCCGGCGACTTCACACCAAATTGACAGCACAACTTCGTTCTCCACACTCACAGCTTTCTCTCAGAGTTTATTTGAAGGAGAATGGTGAAGGAATGAGGGAGTTAGCTTCTCCTTTTATAGGGAAGATGAAGAAGAAGGAAACAAAGTCTGAGTAGATGCTGCATAGGAAATTCACGTTCTTCTTTCGACGATAGTGCGACTTAAGGAGACTCAGCACGTTACTCTCTGATTGGGACTAATTTGGTCCGAGTCGGGGTATACTTTTCGGTCCAACTTTCTCCGAATTCAAATCCGTTTGCACCGTTGCGATCAGACAGTCGAACTCTATCCAACGATATAATTTTTATATTCATTCGTTATACTTTTTCCGACACCACATTTTTGGGTGTTTAACTTTGACAGAGTCAAAATTGGTTTAATTGACCTTTCTCATAAAAGGTTCTCTCATTTAATTCATATCAATTATTCTCATGATTTATTTCAACAAATCATTTCAATATTTACATTCTAAACAAATTTTTTATTTACTCTTGATTTGGGTCTGTACTCAGGTTCTCAATCGAGACCACACAAATAGTCCACATATTGGATTTATCTCTATGAGACTTATCCAGATTTTGATATTAGATGTCAAAACAAATTTCATATCGGCCCAAATCCCAACAATAATTTATTTTAATCAAAACAAATTTGATTAATTGATTATTTATTCATTAATAATTCTAGGGTATATTTTGGGGCGATACATTAGACGGGATTACTTATTTTTGAATCTAGGTTATTTAGGCAGCTAGGTTATCAACATGTGCTTATCTTGGAGATGCTTATAGTCCTCGAGATGCTTATTTTGGCAGCTAGGTTCTCAACATATTGTGTTTGTTTTGAGCAGCTTGCTTTTGGGGGGATGCTTTTTGGTTTTCGGGTACTAGTTTTAGGCTTTCAATATCAGGCTTTTGGGTTTTACAAGCTAGCTTTTGGGTGGGCTGGTTTATGGTTTCAGTTTGAAAACTTAAACGAGGAGCTAGTTTTTAGGCTTGGTGTGCTTGTGTATATGTTTTGGGACTTCTGTCACTTATTCTGACTCTGATCAGTTGGAGATGTTATAGGAGGGGTACAAATGGGAATTCTGTCACGTATAAATTTCCTTCACTCTTCCTAATTGCTAAGCAATTGTTTTTTACAACAAACATTGTTGGTAAAACAATTTATTGATTATGTCTTTCTCATGAATTAACAGGTGGTTACTTTGTTGAAAATGCTTTCTAATGCTCTAAAAAGGTGCCCATCAGTTGGTATTTTAGCTGGTGATGTGGTGTGGGTAGGTAGGTATATTCTTGAGGTAAATAATTACATCTTTTTTCACTTTTTTAACTTGTGGAATCCATGGTGTGACTGTAACATAACTCTTACTCTGAGGATTGCCCAGATATTTTTTTTCTACCGCACACTTTTTACTGTTTTACAGAGGATTTCTGAGATATCTGGAGTGGTAGTCTAATTTCACCCCAAACCAATTCCTGTAAGCTCTTTAGTTTTTTACATTGGTAACATTGCCCATATAGCTCAATAAAAAATGCATCCTTTGATTATTATTGCTTCTTTTCTTCACTTTCGTGGCCAGGGCAATTGGAATGGTTCCGGTGCTCACACAAACTACAGGTAAAGAATGCTTAGGTTATGATGGTTTTTTTGCATGCACGAATGTGCATTTGCTTTGAAATGTTTGTCCATTACACAAAGTTTGTGCTTATAAGGAGTGTTTTTATTTTGTGTTTTTTTCACCACTTGGTTGATGAGGAACGAGGGTGGAATTGATGTGATTAAGAAGACGATTGAGAAGCTAAAGCTGAGGCACAAGGAGCACATTGCTGCGATGGTGAGTGCAATGAATGCCGTCTCATTGGATGGATAAGCTTTGAGGTCTTGAGATTGTATTCCTGCCATTGTGAGGATCAATGGATAAGCTTCCAGGTCTTGAGATTATGTTTATGATCGGTGATGCATCTAAATGCTGGTGTGAAATGTGAAGCATAATTTTTGTTCTCTTAGGGCATGGTTTGATGTTAGATGATACTACTTTCTATTTTTGGAAGATGATTCTTGGTTTTGGCATGGGCCGGATGTTGTATAGGCAAGGGAACAAGCACTATAAACCATATATTATGTAGGATAACACATAAATAATGATATTTTTTATGACACTTATGGCAGTATCTTGGGTGTTGTTGTTTGTTAATTTATTATTTTCCAGTCATGTTTTATTCACATGTTTTTTTGTGGTTGTTTACAAGGGAGAAGCCCTCCATTGCCAAGAAGTGTTCGTGTGCCCATACAAAGAAAAGGAACTGCCTCGCCAATAGATAGCTCTCTAAAAGAATCAGAAATTGGAATATTATTCTGGTAAGTCTGGTCTTGGTTTTGTGGTTTTGAGCTTTTTATATATTTTGGAATTTTTTCTTTAATGCTTTGTGTGCAATATATATCCCTCTTATTTATTAGGATGTTTGAATGTGATCACAATTTGTGCTTTAACATAGATTCCAAAGAAAGGAAATGCCAAAAAATGGGAATGAGCCAACTACAAACCAAGTCGAAAAAAATCAAGTGGCTCTTGCTTTTTTATTAACCTATTGGCTCCAGGCATATCTTTGAATACAGCCAACGCATTGATCATCTCTCCAGTAATGAGGTGCATCAATCTTAGGAAAGTACCCCCTTTGGTGTATCCAATATTAATAATCCATTTGACCCAAAGGATCTCTTTTTTATTGGCCACATCCTAATTATGCCCCATGATTTAAGCTGTGTTCAAGTTCATCATATTTTTAATTCCCAATCCTCCATACTTTTTAGACTTACACACTTCATTCCACTTTTTATTTACTACACATGTTATATGTAAATTTTCAATAATTATATGGAGTATTTAGAAAGAGGAACATTAGAACTGCATGCTAAATCAGCAAAAAGTTAACAAGAGTTAAATGATGGTAGTTAAAAAATCATTAGGATGTTAGTCTTCGAAATGTAACTACAAATTTTCCTTTAATCTAGTATCCAAACACTACTAATGGCAACCTAAGGAACTCTATTCTTACCATGGATGTAACGTTGGCAAGATTGTAAATCGTTCCAAAATAATCGTAGTAACAGGTTAGCAGCATTTATTGATTGCAAGTACTGGTCACATTGGTGGGATTGAATGCTTAAGGCCCTAGACTTCTATTCATTACTTCAACTAGATCTCCTTGGTACCCTAATCTTTTTTGCCTTTTTTAACTCTGTTATTTTTTATGAGATTGGTTGAATAGAGCCCTATACTCTAAACAATAACTTCTTTGAGCATCAATTTAGTGAAAGGACATTTGTTTGGAGTTGACATTTTAACATATAAATAATATACTGCCCAACAATGTTCTTGAAGAGAAGCTGCATGGCTTTTGACTTTATACTGCTCAACATTATAGTTTAATCGATTCTCATGGTCTTTAAATTGAAAGGATATGTTTGTGTTTAGTTTTAGTTTTTGAACATTGGTTGACTATGCTTTCTTGGGTAGCTTTTATGGCTAAGGTTTTGCTATTAGTGCATGTTTTAGGCTTTTGGTGTTTGCTTTGTTTATTGCAAGAGGTTGGTTTTGAGATGTGTAAACATTAGTTATTGTTGAACATGTTGCAGAGGTTTAACTGATAGATCATGAGCCTTTGGGGCTTCGATGTTGATTGTGTTTAGGTTCACTTTAACTACTGCTGTGTGTATAAAAATGTTTCTTTTGTCATGTGATTGTAATTTTCAGGAATGTAGAGGTTTGGGGATGGCATGGCAGCATTAAATGTTTTTACTTTTGAAGCTAAACCCTGAATTGCGACTAAGACAGAATTGAGAATGGTGTTGCTAAGGACAATGTCAAAGCTGAGTTCGTTGCTATGTGTTGGACTCTTAGTGGAGGTGAACATTGAACATTTGGCTTTGGAAGTTGATGTTTGATGGCGTTTTGAAGATTAATTAAATTCTGGGTTGTTTGGTTTTAGGTTATACAGTTGGATTTTAGTTTCTAACTTATACTTCTTTTTTGTTTCAAAGGGCTTTGGTTTGGTCCTCCCTTCTTGTACATTAAATTTCATTACTTCTTTTTTTAATAAAATCTTTTTCATCAATATATATATATATATATATGTATGTATGTATGTATGTATGTATGTATGTATGTATGTATGTATGTATGTATGTATGTATGTATGTATGTATGTATGTATATATATTAATGACGGTATATTTAATCATAAAAATATAATTCTTCTTACTAATAATTGTATTGATGACGGGATTTTTTGTCATAAAAAGAGTATTTTGATGAAGGTAAAAATACTCTCATTAAATAATTTTAATGAGAGGACTTATAACCCGTCATTATTTGTAATTAGCTACGGAGGCTATAATGACGGTCGATGAGAGTAAATTTCCTCTCATTAAAATGTTTTATTGACGGATTTTTGTGTTTTAATGACGGATTGTACTCACACTATAAAGCATTTTTCTTGTAGTGTTATATACTGTGCTTGGTGTGTGGAAATTTCAATTGGTATCAGAGCCTACATAGCTTAAGTTACTAGCTATCGATCACATCATGGGACACATGGAAGAAGGTGCAAACGTTCAAAGACCACCTTTGTTGCGTGGACACAACTACAATTTCTAGAAGGGTATGATGAGAGCCTTTCTCAAATCTCTTGGAGGTGGTGTTTGGAGAAGTGTGGAAACTGGATGGTCTGAACCTCGCAAATATTCTGAGTACTTGACTACATCAAAAATCAAACCATTTGAAGAGTATAGCAGAACAGAAGCCATTGCTGCTGAGTATAATGACAAAGCTTTAAATGCAATCTTCGGAGGAGTGGACTCTACCCAGTACAAGCTCATCTCTAACTGTAACAATGCCAAGGAAGCTTGGGATGTTTTTGAGATCACGCATGAAGGAGATGAGGAAGTAAAGACTGCCAAATATCAAATTCTTATGACTCAATATGAAAATCTGTGTATGGATGAGAAAGAGAAGATCACTGCATTTCATGGGAGAGTTAGAGATATTGCAAATCAGACCATACGTCTGAATGAGCCCGGCCCATCCCAGAAAACAAGTTGGTAGTCAAGGTGCTGAGATCACTTCCTAAAGAATATGAAATGGACGTCAAAGCATTCAGACGTTCTCACAAGATTAAGACCATGACTCTCGATGCACTTATGGGAATACTGGAATCAATTGAACTCAACATGGCAGAGGACAGTAAACAGCGTAAACCTGATAGGCAGATTGCATTTCCCAGTACTGAGGTTGAAGATGACCGTGAACGTGATTTGTCACTAGATGAAGATTTCCAAGGCGACATTCTTTACGAGGGCAAAGAATGTCGCCTTTAAACACCTCTACAAGGATATAGAGGAGAAAGGCGGTGTTAATCAACTGTTCCGGCTTGCTAAGATGCGTGAGAGGAAGGCCCGAGATCTGGACCATGTGAGATGCGTGAAGGGCAGCGATGGTAGAGTGTTAGTTGAGACTACCAAGGTGGCTAAGCGCTGGGGGGAGTACTTTTGTGAACTATTAAATGCGGGAGGAGACTAGAGGCTAGTTCTTGATGAGCTGGGGCAGTCCGAGGCATCTCGTGACTTTGGGTATTGCTGGTGCATTTACTTAGAAAAGGTTGCTCGGGCTCTTCGCGGGATGCGTAGTGGGAGAGCTTTGGGACTAGATGAGATTCCGGTGGAGTTTTGGAAGCATTCGGGTCGTGGTGGGTAGGTTTGGTTACCCAAACTCTTCAATGTTATCTTCCGGACAGCTAAGATGCCTGATGAGTGGAGGGAGAGTCCCTTAGTCCCTCTGTTAACATTCAGAGTTGCGAGAATTACAAAGGAATCAAACTGCTTAGCCACACCATGAAGGTTTGGGAGCGTGTCATTGAGTATAGGGTGCGGAAGGGGTACGCATTTCTGAGAACCAGTTTGGTTTCATGCCTGGCAGATCGACTACAGAGGCCATTCACCTTGTGCGGAGCTTAATGGAAGAATATAGGGCTAGGAAGAGGGACCTTCATATGGTGTTTATTCATCTTGAGAAGGCGTACAATAGGGTGCCAAGGTAGGTTTTATGGAGGTCCCTTGAGTCGAGAGGAGTTCCCATTGCAAAAACTCGCGCGATCAAGGATATGTACGGTGTTGGAGTTGTGCCTTGATGGCCAATTGTTTATCGTTATTCTATCATGTAAAGGTAGATATAATATGTTTACACATCTCATGCTAATGTAAAAAAATATTATATTCCTAGATTTATATTTAAAAGATGTTTTTCAGATAGTGTTTTTCTGCTGATGAGACTAACATCTTGAAATAAATATTTATCTGAATGTCCATAGTCGAGTATTAACGAGAGTAGGATATCGTTAATGCATGTAAGACTAGTATGTGTTGGATGTTTGAATTTGTCTCATATTCAATGATGGTGTGTTCGCATCCGCACATGGGTAGATATTATCAGTAGATAATAGGATGCCGGACTGACCCATTCTAAAGATGTTGCTTGAACTTTTAGTTCATGCTCTAAGCATCTTTAGCGCGACCACGGGTGTAACTATCCTTTGACTTGAAGTATTACGCTTTCTGCATATGTGAACCCGCATGCTTTGATGCATTGTCTTAAGCCATATGAAATAAGGATGGTATACATGCTTTGTTTTGGGTATGCCGCAGCGCATATTCAAAAATGTAGATTACGTACATTGGATTTGTCACTACTCTTTTTAAAGAGATTAATGTCTTTTGGGGCCCACTGATAAGTTATGACTGAGGAAATTGCATGGCCATGCTGAGACGTTTTTACGACGCCTGTTTCTATCAGTCAAACTTGATAAATCAGTGAATGACTTAATGGATACAAGCTGGATTTTATTAATCTCTTGCATTAAGTTTAGACATTGAGACAAAGGGATACAATTACACGGAGTCTGAGTCGTGGAAAGGTTTTGACGGTGCAAACGTCTTAACTTATTATCCGGGGGCAATAATGTGTTGCTAGATACCGTTTATTACTTATAGTATTGGTGCATAGCCAATACTGAGGCCAGCTTTATAAGTGCCTATATGAGTCACAAACTTTGGACAATTTAAGGAGTAGGATTAAACAATGAGATAATAAATAATTTGTATATTTGTAAAATAGTAAAATATAATATTTTGGAATATAATATTATATATATAAATATTCGGTTTTATATATATTATATATATATGTGCCGATTAATATATATAAATATAAATATAAATATATATATATATATATATATATATATATATTAAATACGAAATTTAAATTGAAATAAAGCAAGGAATGTTTACAGCAAAGTGGGAGATGCATTCGCCCCACCAAATAACAAAAAAAACTAAACAACAAAGCATTGAGAAATATTCCTGCTAAAGTACAACCGAAAGCCCAACGATTTCAAAGTTTCATCCAGGTGCATCCATTTCTTGCCATTGTGTATCCATATCCATTGTTGTATAGTCTTCATGGTTGTTGCAATGATATTCCCTTCTTTGAAAGCTTTCCCCTCGTACTTCTCTTCGTTGTAAGCCTTCCATAATCCCCATGCAACGAAGCCTGGTAGAACCGAGTTGATTTTATCTTGCAGCTTAGTCCTAGGCGTGCATACCCACCATTTCATGCATGTTTCGTGTAGGGTTTCTTCGCTATTAGGATTAGGGCCATTAAAAACAGCAGAGAAGAACCTCCAAATTTTGAAAGACCTTTGGCAATGAAAAAGGGTATGGTTGAGTTCCTGCGGACCGTTGAAACAGAACCTGCATTGGGAAGGAAACGCCAGGTTAAACCTGGTTAAGTTTTCCGGGAAAGGAAGTATATTGTTAAAAGCTTTCCACAGAAACAGGCTG